ATATTCATACTTACAGCAATACAATTCACAATAGCCAAATTATGGAACCAATCCAGATGTCTATCAACAAATGAATGGATAAAGAAAATGTGGTATATATGCACAATAGAGTTTTATTCAGCCATAAAGAAAACCAAAATTGTGTTATTTATATAAAAATGGATGGAACTTGAGAGCATATGTATATATGCATATACATATATGTATTATATATAYATAYAYACAYAYAYAYACAYATATATAYWACATCATTAAAAAAGAAACAAAAGACCCTGATTAATACTTGCCACATTTCTTCTCATTACTATACTGACAAATTTTAACTATGTACCTTTGCCAGATTTATTGTTTACATAATTTCATATCATCATCACTGACTCAATTTCCTAGAATTCGAGAATGCAGCATCATTCTTTAAATATTATCCAGAACAATTTGCACAAAAGAAAAGGTRGAAACTAAAGGTGGAAACTGACTTAATATGAACCATGTTTTTGTTCAATGTGAGGCACTGTGCTAAGTGTTTGATTAGGGTTACCTTGTTGAATAATTTCAAYGATCTTCCAGTTGTTCCTATCAACCTAGATTGAGAGAGCAGGAAACAGAACTATAAAGCTTTCAATTTTTACTAATTTCTCACAGATAATGACAGGGGARTCCCCTGAATTCAATTCAAATCAGTCCAACTCCTAAGTCTTAACTTACTATTCCAACCTCACCTTCCACGGTCCTCCTCAAAGTTTACTGCAAATTGTTAAGGCCCATTGCCAAAGAACATTTCAACTACCCTTCTGAAACATAYACCCTTCAGCTATACATTTATAGCTGAGAAATATTACATGCCTGGAGAAAAGCTGTTCAATAAACACTGCATTAGTGAAATACAAAACCGATGTTTTACATGGGACACAAACCAGCACCTCATTAGATGGCATGCAGTTTCCACTCCATAGGTTCTGAACGAACAAAKGTGGTAAATACCAGTAGATAGGAGTGTTTGATACTGCTTAAGATCCTCCAAAGCACAGAATCTCACTGATGAAACTGGGAAGATTAAATTAGCAATGGATTTCAAGTCTATCAAAATGTTATAGGAATGTGTTAAGAAAGATTCAAGTTTTATTTTTCAAACCATATATTTTTCTTTCAATTGCAGAACAGATGAGTGATCACTTTTTTTTTTTTTCCTGAAAGTCACTTACATCAAGAAGAATAGCACATGGTCCTTAAGAGCCTTCTCCAAAACACATTTTTGTCTAGAATATGCTCACAAACTTTAATACATGTGTTTAAAGAATATATGTAAGTGTGTGTGTGTGTGTGTGTGTGTGTACATGGTTATTATATTGAGTTAGCCTGTTCTATCAGAGGACATATTAGTCCCATATACAGGAATCTAGGGCATACTAACCTAATTGAATTTTATGATTTTAAATGATTAAGTGACTGAACTATTATAATTTAACAACTGGCTTTATGTGTGATATATAGTGGTCATATCCTTATAGATCATGCTATGCAAAAAAATTAATAGTACTTAGAAACAGTAAGTTGATAAAGTCATGATCTCACAATCTAGCCCAAGTACTCGTCTTTTAAATCTAGTCTCTTAAGTATTTTCAAGATTTGCCTTAAAGATCTTCTTGACTACTGATAGCTGAAAAATGAACTGTCCATAGTTAATGTCAGCTTAGTTTTCTGAAATTTTGCAGGRAGAAGAAAATTTATGTTTAAAGTGAATTCTTAAATATTTGCCTTGATATAACAGATTACCAACCATACTAATGAAAATATTAGTCTTTTTTGACGTACAAGCTATGATGTGATCGCTAAGTGTATTTAACTATGGATGCTTTATACTCATGTTGCAACCCTAAAGTCAACCAAGACTGTCATCAATAACTCACTGGATATTCAGGAAAACAAACAAAATCACCAGCTAAGCTGGGGGAAGGKGGAGTTCCTGAGAGAAAATAATTACATCATCACACAAAGTCTGTAGAACATTATATTTCATAAAAGACAATAATAAAAAAGTACAAACATTTCCATGAGAAGCAAAAAAAAA